ATTCTTTTTTGGTCTTGGGGTTGCTGTGAATTTGAGGTTTTCCTTTTTCATTTTTATGTTGTTGGTATATTGTACTTCATTTGTTTTTGGCGATTGAGTTAGTGGAGTGCATAGGACCTTTGGTAATGCCGAGTTATTTATAGAGTACATGTAGACATAGCAATAGTGGATGTGTGTGTACAGAAATGTAAGCCAGTCCACTGGTTATTTGGATAGCCAATAAAAGTGTGTTTCATTTTGTTGTTTACATTTAACTTCTCTTATCAAAGTTACATTTCCTTGTTTGACATGTATAGAATGAGGTTTGAATATTTGGATTTTGTAGAAAAATGTATGTCAATGTAAACCAGGACATGGTAGTGGCCTTCTCTTTGTGTGTACAGAAATGTTTCATATCTTAAGCTCAAATAGCATCCCCTTTGAACTGGAAGTATCTCAGCTTACCGACATATAAGCATCACCATACTATGATTGGAAAATGAATAAACTAAACATGAACATTGATTACAAATGTTACATTTTTGTAGCTGACAACAACAATGTAGCCTTGTGTTGTTTAGGTTTGTGAAATAAGAATATCAGAGTAACACAATGGAAACAAAGCTTCAAATTTGAAATTTCATTGCTTCTGCTCATATGATGTGTTAGATCAAAATTCTTTTGTATGTGTGACATTTGAATCAGTCAATATTCAATGTAGATTACGGTTGCAAACAAATCGAGAGGCTCGCGAGAGTTTGAGTCAACACTCGACTCGAGTTCGAGCTCCTAGTGTAATAGCCCAGATTTTGTATTAATAAAAGTGAGCAGTTTTAGTTCCAAAGTTTGAACTATTCCCTTTTATTAATATTGCTCGTTTTCAGTTCCGAGCCCAGTTATTCAGCTTTTCAATTTCAGTTATTAATTCCGATCCATTTATTTTAGAAATGGATTTTATTCAGTCGGAATTAATTATTCCAGTTGACTAATAATCGGAACCGAGTATGTTTCGATATATCGTCTAAGTCGAGCCGTGTCCGAAAACGAGTCGTTCGGTCACGAGTATCGCGCCTAGTCGAGTATCGAACCCAAGTTGTGCCGAGTCTCGTTCGAGCCCTAATCGTGCTCATAGCCTTACTTAGAATATTTTCTAAGTATGAGATCATTTTATCGAGCCTAGTGTCCTGCACCGAGTTTGTGCCGGGTTTATCCCTCGCGCCTTAGTGCCACGAGTCGTGCCTAAGCCGCACCCTAGTGTCGCGCCTCGTCGAGTGTGCGAGTGCCTCAAGTCATGGCTAGTAATGATGGCATATTTTCCTAAGTATTTTGGTTCCTTTTTGAGCCACAAGTCCAGCCCCTTATATCGGGTATTCGCGGCCCGAGTAATGTAGCCCTCGCGCCCAAGTGATGCGCGCCCAAGCCTCGCGCGAGTCCTTACCCGAGCTCGAGTCATGACCGAGTATTCATGATATTATCCTAAGTATTTTGGGCCTCAAGTCAACCACTGTCCAGTCCTAAGTGTGTGGCATTTTTGGCCCAAGAGATGGCTTATTCCAGCCCGTGCGCAAGTCCGCGCCCAGCTCCAGCAGGCCGCGCGCCTAGCCCACTTGCGAGTGGCCCCGAGCCCAATGTGCTTAGTATGGCCCAAGTCCTTGGAAGCCCAATATGTTCCGAGTATTCTGGAGGCCTTTTGGAGTTCATTAAACTTAAGCAAGCCTTAATAAGGATTAAGGAAAGTCAACTCAAGATTAGCATGTAGTGGGGTGATGGGCATTATATTATTCTAATGCATGTGTGTAGAGTTTGTCTCCCATGCACATAGTGGCCTGACCAGAACCTGCCACTCCACCCATCATGGTCTGGAAGTCCACCATTTTTGCCCATGAAGACCGTGCAAAGCTTGCCCATACCTCCACCAAGGCGCGCCCCAAGACTCCATGCCATGCCATGCGCATGTGGAGTGTTAATGCTCCCATCTTGTGATCTTGTTATTTCCGCCCCTACCCTCTATATAAGCCACTATCTCCTGATGTGTTTAAGCTCTTGGTCACCTTAAAACACTTAAGTATATTGAGGGAGAAGTAAGAAAACCGAGAGCACCTTCATAGCCCTTTGCCGCGCGCGAGAGAGAAGAAAGGGAAGGAGGACCGAGCCTTACACATCTCCAGCCATTTTACTTTTGGTCTACCCTTACCTAAGTGTTTGGTGGATTTTTGTAAGCCTCTAGCATTCCTCAATCGCAGCCTTTGGCACCAAGTCGAGCCCAAGGACTCTAAGGCCGCGAGAGGACACGAGCAAAGGAAAACCAACACCATCTTGGTCTTCGGTGAAGGTAACCTCGTGCCTATCATTTTTCCCAGCTTATTCATGATAAAATAGGAATTATCATGTATTAAATGATGCCACGCATGTTCATTTGAGGGAGTTCCGAATTTTTGAACATATGAGCCATAATTTCGTAAGTTTATGTACATGCATGATATGGCCGAGTTTGATGGCTTAAAAATCCTCAAAAATCATGAGTATGACATGGTTAAAAGATTAGCATGCTTTGAGTTCAATTGTTCGGTCAATTTGTTAAGTGAAATCGAGCCATTTTTGCCTCCGAGCCCAAGTCTATATGCATTCATGTTATAGCCAATGTCCTAGCCTCAATAGCATTGATTTTGATGTATATCATTCGGCCCTAAGTCATTTTGCATGTTGAGCATGTTCATTTTCGTGCCCTAGTGTGGCCTCGTGCCTAATCGGCCCTATAAGCCCATCTCCAAATCCAACCGAGGTCCCTCAGTGACTTTTGACATTTTTGAGTATATTATATCATATTATGTTGGTTTGGTTCAGTAGTCATCGGAATAGTTGCCGGAAGTTCAGCAAAGGACCGGCTAGGGTCACCAGCCGCGCCAGTCGCGCGTGCCGTGCCTGTGCCGCGTCACAGAGGCCAGGCAGTGCCTCTGTCCGT